CTTTCTGATTCTTCAGTTTGCTTTCTCTTAAATAAGAGGTTCAGAGTGGGCACAGCATCAGTTTTCAAAATACGGGCGTTTTTTGTTGAAAAAGTACCATATTGCTCTTTGACTGATAAATCTTCGAAACAATCTTTATGGAAATGAATAGAACAAATAGTTGCTGAAAACCATTGAATACCTAATAAATTATGTGTCATCATTGCTTTAATTAATACACACCATTTTTCAAATTGATGTTGTCCTTCCTCCTACATGCTGAAATCCATTGTTTAGACAGTTCTTTGCTCTTTGGGAATCGAAAATACTTAATATTGGTCCCTTTTGTCACTCTGTTGTAATTATTACAACCAAAAACCGCACAACCAGGCATTCTTAGTTATATACCTACCTACTTGTATTTTTGTTTAATTATTGAAGCTTCGAATACGATACTAAATTGACAAAAGCTAATTAAAAATGTTTGAAAACCACTCTTGACAATAATTTCGTAATAATTCTTAAACTTCACAGCACAACAGAGAACTTGTGAGAAATTTAAATTGAATTTAGGCAAGTCTACGAAGTTACAACCCCGATATGCTTCGCACTCACGTCATCTGCGCGAACTGGAAGCGTTTGGAACTAACGAGTAGCATACTGTTATGAGTGTATCGTGCTTTCAATCTTCTGGTAGTAGAAAGTGAAATGAGCTGGAGAAAAGTGCTGTGACTTGATCAGGTTTCAGTAAGATGCCTATAAACAAATGTAGTGATTTATACATGTACAATATTTATATTGTCAGAAGACATACTTAATTTCATTCAGACTTGAAACTTTCTCAAATAAATATCAGATACCGCCACTTTTGCACCTGATTTTACAGTACATTATTGCAAAATGAATAGAAATATTCAATGAGGGCACCATCTCCTGGCAACTTTTGAACAACTAGCATGAATACAATATTTTATGAAAATATCCAATAATCATTCGACATTGCAGCTTGGACTCATTTACTGCTGTTATGGAATGAGTCAGGAAATTTGTAAAAATTTCACTGTCCTCTGTGATAATCCACCATAATGCTTGTGAAGCAGATATTGCGAAAAAGATTGTCAGGTGGTTGAATCAGAGCTCCATGCTGGTTGAAAAACTACTTCAATGCATCAGTTGTCATTCAACGTCAGTGTGGTATTCGAGTGTTTTTTTTTTATTTGAGAGAAGATAATTGGATAATTCAAGCGATTATCAACTTATGATTTTTGAAATAGTTGAGAAGTTTGAACTAAGTTATTCTATTTTTTCACTTAGTCATTTGATTTTCAGATTTGAAATGATAAGGTTTTTCCTCCATAATGAATATTTAATAAAATATGTATTTGCATTTTTAAATTCGAAAGTTATAGACCACATTACTGGTTTTTGAAGTCCTTTCGTGTCTGAAAAATACTGGTAGAACCAAATTAGTGATGGAATATAATATAAATGAGTCAGACATTTGATCTATTCAATGAATTACTGTTCCTAATTATGGAGTTGGTATTTATGTATATGGCCTCTAACAAATAAAAACATGAAAAGCAATATCCACCACATAATTGTAAGTATCTCACACAAAAAGGTAACACCTTGTTTGTGCTTTACTCACAATTATAGGCAGATTCACAAATTTGAATTCAATCGGCATACTGCTGTTTCGTATTGTATTGCAATATAAATTTGTATAATTGAAGAGAACTGGCCGATACTTGATGAAAATCCATATTAAAATTAATTCATACAATTTATTGTATGAATTACATGTCGCGGTTTTTGTAAACCCCTTTTATACTAAAAATCATACAGGAAACTGTATTAATTAGTTTTATTTAATAAATTTATATTCTAGCAGCATGACTATGACAACGTGTCAATTAGTATATTGTATAAAATTGTGAAACATATATTTTCATGATTCCTGAAGATCAATACAGGTCAGCCACAGCACATTTGTGGCCTTGGTAAAAAATGCCTTCTGTTTACAAGGCTACGTCTAACGATACCTACCTGCGTGACATCCAACCTTTACCTTGAAATAGAAAACCAATTCCTCATTCAAATACATATTTTATCAACTTGAATTCTATATGGAAGCAAACTGGTTTCTTAACTTTTCATAAAAAATCGAATAAATTGTGTGAAATATCTACTAGGGTACTGTTTTCTTCAACAGTTCTTCCAGCACAAGAGTATTCAACCTTCTCATAACGAAACTAATGTATTTCTGTTTTTTTTTTCAAAAGGACCAAACAAATTGAAAATTTTATTATGATACATTATTGTAGTGTAAACTTGTAAAATAACTGGAAGTCAATAAGGGTGATATAACCTTGATTTAGTTGAAGGTCAGTTTCTTCATTATAGATGAAATATGACTAACACAAAAATTTGAAAAATTGAAATAAATGAACCTAAGACAAATGAAGTTTATCTTGCCCTCGATTAGTATACAATCGGCCTTAATTTTGTGATTATGTTATCGGATTTACTTGTTTTTGAATATGTATTATTGTTAAAAGTCCTACCTTCGATTTTATTTCAAAGTACTAGTTAGGTAGGCCACCTATCGGTTTTCTGGGTGTAAAAAGGTTTTTTGATTGAATTTTATGAAAGTATATTAAGTGTAAATAATATATATTAGTAATTGCAATCATAGGATAAAGTATTAGAAAAGTATCTGTTGGTATCTAATTAAAACCTGAACAAAAAATCCACCAAGAGTTCATGAGGTCTGCTTATCTATTTTAAAACATATCATTAAGAGTTGGTGATTAGTAAAAGTTCATTAACTCTTGCGGGATTCAGTTCAGTGGTAGTTGGTAAAATAATACATTGAAATGCAATCTATCTATCTCAAGAGCTTATTAGAGTAACAAAGTACCTTGCTATACAATAGGTTGCTTTAATCTTCCAAATAATTTGCCCATATGTGTTCCTTCCTTCCAACAAAACTCTTATTAAATTGTTTCATTTTCTGACATGGCAATCTTTATAAAAGACAAAATGTAACAGTATATGACATTTTACGAATAAGTGCAGCTAATACCAGCATGTTCTGGTAAGGGGCGGCTCTTGGTACATTTTTGCATAGTAACAAATATTTTCATAATTTCATTGTAATTAATATAATTTGATATCATAAAAAATGAGTAAAGATCACATTTTACATAACCGACAAAAATAAGTTTTCAAAAGTACAGATTAAAAAAAAAAAAAGTATGTAAATGATTTATAAATTATAATCTGTAATATATTATTCAAACAAAAATTATAAGGCTTTCAAAAGAGTACGATGACTTATTTGAAATGCCCTACGTAATATTTGAAACAGGGTTGTTTTTAAAACTTAATTTTCAACTTGTTTTTGATCAGTGGGTGAATAGTAATCTGAAAGATTTGTGAAATTCCATTATTAGGAGAAAAGGGAAAGACATTGCAAACTAAGTTTGATTTAGTTAGTCGTTTAAGCTGAGTATGAGAAATATATTTATTTAGCCATTCCTTATAGTTTTGGATGATTCTCTATTGATAATTATTATTCCTCGAATATTAACAAAACCCCCGTCCCTTTTGAACGTTGTGCAGTAAAATGGAGAAGATAGTTACATACTGCTTTCCCATTTTGCTGAATTGTGATATTTTATTATATAACCTCACTTAATTTTTTATCAAACGTTATAAAAATTGTTATTGTATATAGTGCTATTTATTTGAGGCAATCTATTAACAGTGGTTGTACTTAGTTTTTATATGAATATGATTAGTTCTTTTGGATATTTTCAAATCTGAATGGAAATTTACTTATTTATATTTTATTGAATTGTTTAACATATTAACTTGTACTTTGTCAATCTTTGGATACAAAAATAAGTGACTGTGACAATAATCATAGGAAAATATACTATAATATTAACATTATTTTATTTCCTTCAACCTTCACGTACTATAACTTCCCTAGTAGGCTATGATTAACTGATCTTTCGACTCAGTGTTGTTTTGGGACCTAATTAAAATTTAACGATCAGTTCCTTAATCTCATCTATTCCTTCTGATCGTTATCTTTTGATTTCCAACTTATTACCAATATTTATGATATGTTCAAAGATTTATCAATAACGATCGTAAATATTGGTTATCTTCTCGTTAACAAATATTCAGAAAATTAATCACATAGTGTCATTAAGTGAGTTATGTTCAATTAGACCAATTCTTCTTTTTATTTGTTTGATTTCAACATTTCCATAGATGATATTTCCTAGTAATAACTGTCCTAAAAGATATACCAGGTGTAAATATAGACACAGGGCCGGATTTGGAGGTCTGGAGCAACAAGGGAGAGAAGGCTCCAAATTATTTTTCAAATAAAAGAATAGTATATTGTACAAGTGAGAAAAATGACAAATATGTCATTTTCTCACGCATTGTACACTGTACTTTTTCTAGGTTGCGTTGTTTTCAAGTATTGAAAATTAAAATACATATATAATAATACTTAAATGTCATTAACTCATTTTTACATTTTATTCAAAATAGTAACAGTTATATTTGAACAATTTTGTTAAGTAATTCCTGGCAGGTCGTTTTGTTTCAACATGCTTTCGTTAATTGACATAACAATTCATTACTGACTTGGGTTATCGTGATAACAGTGAGAAATTATTTCTTACTGTAATGGCGGAGATTTCTCACTGTGTGAGAAATCTTTTGGTTTTGAACGTTTGAAAGCTATGAGAGAAGTGGGACATTGTATAGCATCCATAGAAATACATTTTTCCCTAAGCCTTTCAAAAATTGATTGCCAACAAATAAAATCATTTTAACAAACATATAAAGAAAAATATTGTTTGTGCAATTGTTTACGGTAAAAATGCGAAAAAAGACTATTTTGAAAAAAGGTACATACAGATATAAAACTTTATCAGACTAGTCAGAACAGAACATAAAGCAGCTGCGCTTATCTATAGTTACAGTGTATACATACATGTTAACAGTTTAGTAGACATATTAAAAAGATGCAAGAACGGTGATAAAATGAGATATGCAAGTAGGTTGTAAAACCTATATATTTGTACAAGTAAAATAAAGTAATTGTACAATAATACCTAGAGTAGTAGAAATTCTTCAGTAGAATAAAATGTATTTTTTGTAAGGTACTCGTTTCCAAATAGCTGAAGTGCTCTTATAGCAGATGATACCCTGATAACTTGAGGAGTCCTGACCAAGAGCCAGTTGAGAGTAGGGTAATCGCAGTTCATTACCATTATTTCTGTACTATATCAATCAGCTAGGTGCGCGGCAAATTACTGATTTTTTAAAATAATTTATGCAGGTAGGTTACAATATGATATATAGTTTTTTTTCATTGGATTTTCTTTTTATTCTTTTTGAAAGATCATAATAAGGCTAGGCTATTGGTGGACCATTTACGTTATGAAAATAGTGTTGGCTCTTATTAAAAAAATCAATTTTTCAGGTGCTTTTTTCTGGGAATAGGACTGTTCAATGTTTTTACATGAGTAAGAGATTGAATAATATTGGAGCAATATATGTGAATACCCGTTGTCCAATGGTTTTGCTTGCTTGTGGGTTCATGTCAAACGATTCTATGAAAATATTCCTTACTTTTCAAAATAAAAGAATGTCACCATACCATATTGCAGAAGAGACTTTGTAAAAGCATAATGTAAGGTTTTTATATTATTGATAGTGAGGATATTTTGCAACTTATAGAATATATAAGTCCTCTTGATTTATTTATAAATTTCTCAACATGTACATCCCACTTGAGGTGTGTATCAATTTCTATGCCTAGGTAGTATATTTCAATAAATCTCAATACAAAATAAGGTGATTCACAATATTACATAGAAATATTACGTTCTAATCAATATTGAGAAATCAAACAAGTAACAGGGCCATTTGATGTTTAAATTATTGTTTTCCCTAAAGTTTGAAGATATCTTGGTGATCCCAAATACTATTCATAAGCATATGATGGTAGAGACTTGAAATGTTATTAGTTCAAATATCCGTTTACCTTCTACTATTTTACACCAAATTGTGCATCTACTGGAAAAGTGAGCATAAACGAGCAATTTCTAACTGAAACTAGTTATTATTCACATCTTTGTGAGGTTAAACTATGAAAACCTAGTTATGAGTTGAAACTACAGCTTTATTTATTTTCCTATCCTTTCTGTCTATGAAATAATATTGTAGTTGCATGTTAAATCTAGCAGATATCTAGAACAAATCTGGTAGGTATGAAAAATAAAACAATAGATCAATAATTTTTATTCACAAATAAATGGCACAAAATTATGAAACTAACAAAAAATGGCCACTTGTATTGTCAATATTGATATGACTGAATGATTACAGAAGTTTCAGTTTTCTAAAAGATGTCTATTGGTATAACCCAAATGTTCGTTACAGTTAATTCACGTCTTATCAAAAACTTGAACTTATGTATATTTGGTTTTTTATTTCACCTATAAAATGAAATTCCTCGTTTGTTGATGGCAAGGCGGGCCAAGCTGCCTTTACATTTGATTTTCTTTGTTTTGACCCACCTGTGCATATCTCAAGGAACCTTGCTCTTACCATTTTCTGGTGATTCAATTTCTTTTTTCCTCAGATATCGGCAGTCATCGATAGCAAAACTGAAAAAAAATCACAATCTGAAACTAAGTAATTTGTACGAACAAGTTAGCATTGCATGGCAGTTTTTATGAATCTCTAAGTTTTAATTTTTATAAATATAGGTGATTTATAAGAGTAAAACGATATATCTTCATGAATAAAATAAAGATGTTAGGAGAAGGAGCTATAATGATTCATATTACCAATGATTCAACAGAAAAAACACTCACCTGTATATGAGGATAATCAATGGTGCCGTAGATAAATGCCATAAAGAATGGTAGTCGAAGATGTAAAAAAAAGGAGGACGGTCGATGATTTCCAGCATCATAACAATACCCGTTAAAGCCACATAAATAGCACATTTCCATACATACCGCTGTCTAATTCGGTTATAAGTGCACCAACCAAACCAACATATGGCAGTGAAGGTTCCTAAAAATTATTGTATTGGATCATTTACTCATGGAGTTCTCTAAGGAATAGTTTTTGTTTAAAATTTGTTTACACTAATATATTTTGGATCAGCTGCATTAAATAAAATGAATAAAGATATACCAAGATTCTCTTAGGAATCTTTTTTACTCGATATTATACTTGATGAAATTAACAAACATTCTCCTTTTGAAAAATGTATTTTTACTAGACAGATTAAATAGACTAATATATATTCTCTTGGGAGCCTTCAAAAGGGTTCTTCAAGAGGAAGATATCAGAAGATTTCAGTTTAATTTTCCTCTTGAAGATGATCGCTTGGTGATTGAAACACGTTAAAAATATGGTTTGGTGTTGGAATAAAACACCAGTAATATTTGTTACTACACTATAGGTTCTAAACAGTGCATTATAAGTAATAATATAATAATGAACACGTATAGTAATTGTCAGGTACATATTTTATAATGTAGCATGATACATAAAAGTAAAATTTTAAATTCCATCTCGAATGCTTGAAAAGTTATGAGAGTTATGAAGGAGTTCTGAAATGTGACATATGTCAATGTTGTTGATTGACTTCTGAAACGTTCAATGCAGTTAGAAATGAAGTGAACCAGCGAAAAGAAAAAAACTGAATGTTCAGCCTCAGAAGCGTTTAATATCTCTACAATTTCTTAGCCCTTCTTTTGGTAGGCAAAATTGTTAAATACAAGTTACTGATAAATAGAACATTTTTTTATGAAAAATACTTCAAATCACGCAGTGACTTATTGAGGTGAACTAAAAAGTTTGCCCTTTCTACATCTGTATGAAGTTCACCATCACAATCTTCATATTTTTTCAGATTGTGAAAATACCCAAAGAAGGTTGATAAAAACTCCTGATTTCCTCAACAAAAAATGACTTTGGTTCGTTATCTGAAAGACATGTATTTGTTTTTTGTTGACATTGACAATATTACTAATGAATTAGTTTGATGGGGTATACCTGCAAACTACAACACCAAAATGTTCAGCATTTCTACATTCTGATTTTATGCTTTTTCTGTACCATCTGAGGGAGGCTTTTAATAAGAGATTCATATTGTCAAATGTATTCTATGTGCCATCCTACTGTCTTTAAATTTTTGGTGTGAACCTAATAGCTTCCTTTCAATCACGATACACTCATAACGGTCTACTGAATACTAAAATTATGAGTCATTTTCTCACCCTATTGATGAAACCGAGGGTGATACATACTGTGATGATATTTCCGACTTTTGACAATATTTTTGACAAATTCAATCTGCTAGGTAATAAAATACATATTTTTTGAATTACTTTTGTTTTCAAAAAAGATAAATTGCACATGGGTCAGGTAATAGGGAGTAGTGTAATTTTAAAAAATGGATTTATCTTCTCTTTTTTATATGGATTGAATATAATTTATTACATACGTAAAACAACAGTTTTAGATGAGTCAGATTTACTAAGCAATTAATGAAAAAACCCACTGAGCTGAAAAAAATAAACTGTAAGGAATGTATTAAACAGACTAAACTTGAGACAAAAAAAGAAACACACACTAGCAGTTTTCAAACGAAAATTTCCAAGTAACTCTTTTTTTCCTTTGAGAGTATATAGAATGTTATTCAAATTAATGTGAATTTCAAATTTCTTTTTCTTAACATCTGTAGTCTCTTCAACGAAATTACGAAATTTTTATTTCCATATATGAAAATTTTCAGATGCCTTTTTTCTTTGTTTTGTTTTTATGAATTAAGAACTGTCCGATAGTCATTTTTGGAAGAGTCCCTTTCAAAATATATTTGAATCTAATAATATAATAAATTTGGAATACTTTTGATAAATTGTAATTTCAACTTTCGTCCCACTTTCCTTCCAAACTAAGGACTTCTCTTCTCTTCTTCTCGTGTGTATTGCTTAAAAATTTCCAGATGAAATCACAATTAAAAAAAAAGGTTTATTGTCTAACAGGAGTGATCCCAATTATAAGACAAATATAATTAAGTTTACAGCTATGACTAAGTATAAGTACAATGGAATATATCGAATAGCATATAAAATCAGCAGAGTAATAGAGTAGTATATTATACAAACAGTGATACATTCATATAATAATAAAAAAACATATACTGTACAATTCTTATAGAATTGGCAGTGTGCAAAGAGTTGAAACACAGTATTTCACTTATGGGTTGAAATTAGATTGTAGTTCGACTTGCATAAAAAATAGTTTGTTACGAATTATATATCTGAAGCACCCAAATGGCACAACAAAAATATCACATTCTGAATAGAAACTATTATAAATTTTACAGATGTTATAAACTGGGGATTTTATCAACACGTTGATCCTAGCCAAAGGCAAATAGAAAAATATTTCTTTTTTACTACTTCGTCTCGGTACGTGAAAATCTAGTTGAGATAAAAAATCTGGGCAGTCAACCAGATTATAAATCAATTTATATATGACTATACAGGCATAATATGCTCTTCTGTTTTCTAAGGATAATAGGGCAAATCTATTTAGCAAAACTCTATTATCAATTCCTTGGGATAGGTAAGCTCCATCCAGTTTGTAAGCCATGTATTTCATGAAGATTCTTTGACAAGATTCGAGTTGCTGTATATGCACATTAGGTGGCCAGATTAGGGAGCCATATTCCAGACGAGATCGGACATATGCATTAGAAAGTGTTATAAAACATTCTTGGTTTTGAAAGTCTCTACACGTCCTGAAGATAAGGCCAAGCATTTTTTTTAAAGAAGATGTGATTTGATTAATTTGTGACGTGAAGCTAAGTTTCTTATCGAATATGATGCCCAGATCTTTAGTTTCTGTGCTTTGTTCTAATATGACGTCATTTATTGCATTGTCAAACTTTATATTGTTGTGCTTGAGGGTGTATTTCATAAATTTACATTTTTGAATATTCAGTGGAAGCTTGTTTAGTATGCACCATTCATGTATCGAATTAACTTCCTTCTGCAGAATAAGACAGTCCTCGGTTGATTCAATGGGTCTGAAAATCTTCAAGTCATCAGCAAAGTCATGTTACTAGGGATATTTGAAACAATATCATTTATAAACAAAGAAAATAGAAGAGGAACTAGATTACTTCCATGAGGTGCACCACTAGTTGAAGTGAATTCGGTTGATTTGTGTCTTTTGTATTCTACAAATAGCGTATGATTCTGAAGATAAGACTGTAGTAAATTCAACAGTTGACTATCGAAACCAACAGAAAAAAGTTTATTCAGTATATTGAAGAAATTTATCGTCAATTTATGAAATTCTTAGGGGCCCTTTGTGAATTTTTATTGATTTTCATCTTACTCGATTCTTCAAAATTCGAAAATAACTCTTGAATAGAAGCGCGCTAGTATAGTTCAATATTCATTTTAATCAGTATACAAGCTTTATTCCCAAAAACTAATCTCACCTACAAATATTCCCTTTTCGATTTAATTATAAAGGGTCTTCCTAAAAGTCATGTAAATATTTAATAGGATGATTTTATGGATGATTCTGAGAAGACAACTCTTTATTATTTCAAATTTTATTTTACCCCCGTATACTTTTGAAGCTATTAAAAATTTCAGAGAAAGAGCTATGCATGAGAGGCTTTTACAATAATTAGAAAAAAATTAAAATTTCTTTATGATGGACAAAATGGCTCTGACAGATCTAGCGATACCAAGTCTGCAGCTTTAGATTTAATTACTAAGATACTATTAAAAATACATTCAGATTACTTTTATCACTAGATCTGTGCAAAGCTTTTGATACAGTAAATCATAAGATTTTAATTAAAACATATTGGCATCAGAGATAAAGTGTAAGTGAATTGGAAAATGAAATAAAAATGATCTTTGTGCCATTTCAATGTGACTTGATTTCCATAAACTGACTTATACTTCAAAAAATCTAGTTATATGTATATAGGCAACAAACTAATGCCTGACGCCTCAAGTACACCTCTCATTTACAATAATTGTAGAATTAAATATGAAAAAATCGCAAAAATCTTAGGATTACACATAGATCACACTTTGTCATGGACTGCACATATTCAAAATTTGAGAAAGAGAATATCACCAATAATAGGAATTTTATTTAAGTTGAGATTCTTGTTATCTTCAAAATATCTAAAAATTGTTTTATTTCCGTTTTATTTATTCAAAACTTCAATATTTAATTTCTATTTGGGACACTGCCACAAAATCCATTTCGAAAACATCACAAAATAAAGCGATAAAATGAATAATTTTTGTCACAATTGTGATAAAAATTACATGTAATACTTCTTAATCTACAAGAACTGTTGAAAATTACTACCCCCCGCTCGGATGCAAGAATACAATCTTCACATCATCGACTCCCGAACTCTTTCAAAAACACCAGGATCATTTCTGATTGTGTTACACCCAGCAAATTGAATGTCTGCAGCTTTACTGAAATAAACATTTACAATAGTCTACCCGAATACATAAAGAACATTAATTCTGCAATAGAATTCAAAAAAACTGTTACACAGTATTTTTATCTGTCCAAGATGATGATTAATTACATGAACATGAAAACTTTTAAAGTTGACCTGTTTCTAGTGAGAATTGATTGTTTGTATCATTTTTTATTCTTATTGTTATTTTATTTCACTCCCTCTATAAACATGTACAATTCATGGAATTATTAAAGTCAACATTATTAATTTCAACTTGTCATGGAATGGCTATAAAAACGTATTGAACTTTCCTTTTAATGTTACCTTTTTTATCCTAACTTTATTATTTTTTGTCCAAGTATTTGCCCTAAAAAAGATTTCACCCCATTCGAAATATACTTTTTGAGACTATGGATTTATTTTCTCAGAATGATCCTTAGAAGTGCCCCTTAAATAATTACATAATATGTAATTAAAACAAACTATAGATTCTGGGACAAAATATGAATTCTTACAACGAAAAAAGTGTGCCATAACCATGTCAGTGGACTATCCGGTCTCACTTCAGCTCGAAATTTGCGAACCATCTTAAGGTGGACATAACCATTCAATATGGAGAAGACTACCGAAGCAGGCTCTTGCATCCCCAGAATTCGTACAAATGGCCACTGATAAAATCATAATTTCAATATCTGAAAAATGTATCGATAAAACTACTCACTTTTCCATGGAACTGTGGAGTTCTCCACTTTCGCTCATGAAAAGCGTCAACAGTTTTCCACATACAATTATATCTACATTCATCTCCGCATGACCACTGAGTCAAATACAAAACTGTGGGCTGATCATAATTTTTGAACCCCACACCATCTACAAATATTATTTTCAACAATTTTCAAATTGAACCCAACCTCAAAGAATTGTCTCTCACCATCTGTGCAGTTGAGAAGGCTGCATTTTTCTAAACATCTTTGATAATATGGTGAATGATCACCGGCTGAACAGATTGAGTAGTTGATGAGTATTACTATGATTAAACATTTGAAAATATTATACATTCTTCCTAAATTCAGACTTTAAATTCCAAGCAGAGTTGCCATTTAATTTTTTAGGTTATAAAGTAACCACTTCCTAAACCAGACTTTTTGACAGCAAATATTTTTTAATGTATTATTTTAAGCACATGTTGAAGTTATTACCTCAGAAAAGTAGACTAAGTTGAACTTATTCACGTAAAAATGGTTTTATATCTTTTGGTCATATTCATGATTGACAACACTGATATAGTTAGGTTTACAATAAGGATAAGATTCAAAAGTACTACTGAAAAACCGATTAGATATGTAACACGATTTTTTGAAAACTGGTGAACCGATCGTCAAAATACTAACCGACGATTTTGTTGTGATGAGACTGCCAATTGACAGATATATAACAGGTTTGAATTTGGAATATGTGAACAGAGGACATGTGACAAACCTAGAAAACCTAACATAAGTAAATAAGTAAGAACTTTTAAAACTTTGAAACTAACAATATCAAACAACGATTCGTTTTTGTTCATCAATTTCAATTTACCCGACCCTTTCAGCTGGAGTTTCATTTGTCATAGCTCAATAAAAACGGGTTCCTTTCCAATCATTTTTTAAATAGAAACACGCACTTACAATGAGGAACAGTACGAGTAAAGTCACGCCCGAAGAAGCCATTGTATGGCGAAACACGTGTTGCGTTTTTGTGAAATTATTCAATTAAAATCTCACAATGAAGTGTTTTTGAATACCTACGTATTTTCCTTTTAACACTAATAGGTATGTACACCTAAACTTTCGAACAAGAAACTGTATTTAATTAATAATCTCAAAAAATGACCCAGTTTCCCTTTTACAATCATTCATTCCTTTGTTTTATCAAATGCGAATGATTACAGACTGGAGTGAAGAATATTGAAGAAATTTATCGTCAATTTATGAAATTCTTAGGGGCCCTTTGTGAATTTTTATTGATTTTCATCTTACTCGATTCTTCAGAATTCGAAAATAACTCTTGAATAGAAGCGCGCTAGTATAGTTCAATATTCATTTTAATCAGTATAAGATTGATTGATTCAAAAATATAGGGTCACAGTGTATGATTTTCAGTCTCAACTGTTGACTCAGCATAAGACTTAACCCAATAACACACAGCATTCTTGTTCCAAAAATAACCAACAATAATATATTTTTCATGTAACTGCTGTCAAAAATTATGGTTAGTAGCAGTTAGGAGTGGTTATTTTTAGAACATATCCTAAGAAATATTACTGGAGTTTTTTCCCCAACACCAAATCGTTATTTTTACACCTCGACACGTGTTTCGATCACCAAGTGATCATCTTCAAGAGGAAGATATCTTCCTTTTATCTTCCTCTCATCTTCCTTTTATCTTCCTCTTGAAGATGATCACTTGGTGATCTAAACACGTGTCGAGGTGTAAAAATAACGATTTGGTGTTGGGGAAAAACTCCAGTAATATTACTACACCAAAAGTTCCAAACAGTACATCATAAATATCCTAAGAAAACGAGGTGTGTAATCACTGGTGTGTAATCACTATAATGTGTGATTATTAAAATTATTTGTTTTGGTCAGATAACATATATATTTTGTAATAGTCTATATAGTAACACAAAAAATAGTTGATTACCATTTCAGAAATTTCCATTACCACAGTACGAAAAATATCAACTTCACCTGCACTAAGTTTAGATACTATATATCCAAAATACTAAATCATTTCATTATGAGGAATCCATGCCCACTTGAAACGTGAATGCTCTCCTTTTGGAATATCCCAAACATAAGTGTGTAAATCTTGCGATGAAATTAGTTTATCAACATATTCTGTATTCATCTCATCATCTGATTGACTCATATTCAATTCTGAATGAATCACACCTTCAGCATTCATCGTGGTATCTGCGACTTGCTGAGATGAGTCGTGGTTGTCCTCTGGGAGTCTTTGAGATTTACCACTCTCAAACTCACTATCATCAGTAAGATCTCCGCTGCTTCCTGTTGGTAGATACCCAGGATCACCTCGTTGAAAGTCGTGTCCGATCGGTGAAAGCATTTTTGTGCCGGCCAAAGCGGACACCCGTGTCTGCTAGGAGTAATCTGGAGGCCAAGGCGGACACGGGTGTCCGCTCTCATTTTTTGTGTTACTTGAATATAAAAAATGAAAAAAAATTGGGGTAACTAATAATTACATACCAAATGATGTGAATTGTCAAAAAAAATGGTGGCCCAGATAAAATTTTGATAAAAATCACATGGCGCTTAACCTGTTAAAACAGAAGTAATAAAGTAGTATTCACAATTTACCCAATGTATGCTGACACCTTCCACAAAATATTCAATTTCAATATATTATATTATTCAAATGAACATACATTTAAAGTATTTTTATAGATTTACCGAATTGATATTTTGGCTAAAAAATGTAAACGCAGCAGAATACAAACCTCTTGAGTATTAACTCCAAGCTCCTATACAGCCCGGTATTCAAAAGTATTTATTTTATTAATACGCTTTTATTAGCTTCACCTGTATGTATGTTTGTTTGTCAGTTTTTTTGTAACTCCAGAATTATCGACATTATTGCTTGATCTATTCGCAGGAGATGGCGCTGTACGTAATCTCCTTTATATAATTCGAACTCACTTTACATGTATTTCTTCATTTGAAAATAGTACATTTTTATTATTATTTTATCACGCTTTCAATAGCTTCACCTGTATGTATGTGTGCATGTTTGTTTGTTTGTAACTCTCCTTTTCATTTCATATTTATTCCCGTTGAAATGCTCGGGATCTGTATTTGACAGAATTATCGATATTATTGCTTGATCTATTCGCGGACAGATGGCGCTGTACGTAACATCCTTGATATAATTCGACTTCACTTTACATGTATTTCTTCATTTGAAAAAAGTATTTTTTTTATTAACACCCGCGCCTGTTGCCTTATTTGTGACCCTCCTTTGCCCGCCTGCTGCCTTCCTTGGCCTTGGTAGCTGATTTTCAGGCTCCCTCTCCGGAATCTGAAAATATCAATTACTGATCATTTTTCTAAATTTTTTCTAAACAATTATCAATCCGAATTCACAATTACATGACCAGTATGATAATACATATATTTTGTGATATACAGATTAATTGGCCTATTGTCAGCTTTCTGATACGAGATCAGGTGCTGTTGAGGCCCAGAGGGAAAATGCATATACTAAGAGTGAGATTGAGATTTTTATATTTCGAATATTATGAAAACTGTCAGTTGAGTACTCAATATATTAATGTTGAGATAGCTTCTCTTTTATTATTCTTTTGAATGACGCCATCGATTTTGTGAAGTCAGTGATCCGGAATTTATTCAGAAGATTTCCGTGCAGTATCTTATGGGAGGGTATAGTTATAATTCCTCTTCTACGAATATTTACATTATGAACATGGCTTCTAAAGATGATTTTTTTTGTGTAAATAAAGAGCTTTTTCGTATTTTATTAAAATTTTATATAAGAAACAGGTTATATGAAGTAGTCTTTGATTATACATATTCATCCAATTTATTTCCTTCAGTTTATGCGACACTTTCTGTCTTCGCCTTATACCAAATATCAACCTTAAACAAAAATTTTGTAATTTCTGAATGAGTCCAGAATCTCTATTATCTATTATATATGCTATCATATATGTTCATGTGTGAGAGAACAATTGAATCAAACATTTCTTTCTTTGTGCTTTGATTTAGAAATTTTCTCTGGGGGTAGATCATTTTCAAATTAGCATAGCCAATTTTCAACTTTGATGTGACGTGCTCCGTGAATTTGATTTTATTGTCAATTATCAAATCCAGATTTCTAGCGGATGTTCTGAAAGAAATAATCTAATTAGCTATACTAATGTTCAAAGATGCCTGCAATTCTTCTTTGATTCTATCATTACAAAAAAGTATAACCATGGATTTTTTTGGATTGATTTTCAATAAATGTTCATTTGATACTTCAAAAAGTTTTTGCAGATCATAGTTGAGGGAATATTTTGCTGCTGCAGTATCTGACGGATTAAAGGAAAAGTAAAGCTGCGTGTGTCATGTGCGTATACTTGCAAAAAGTTAATGACTTCAAACTGTGCAGTATAAATCGCATAAAATAATGGACCCAAAATACTCCCTTGAGGTACACCAGTGGTGACAGTAATCGCCTTCGATGTCTCATTTTTATACACTACTCGCTGTAATCTGTTCGTTAGGAATGATTTTATCAAATCGCAAGCTCGCACAGAAAAGCCGATATGATTTAGAATTGCCAATAGAATTCTATGATTCAACATATCGAACGTTTTTGTGTAGTCCAGGAGTACCAGGATCGTTGCCTTACTTTCGTCCATTCCCCTCAGAACATCATCTGACACATCAGTTAATGCAGAGCTACAGCTGTAACCTGGCCGAAAACCTGATTGTTTCGCTGGTAAATAATTTATCGAGTTGATGAATGGTACTATTTGAGACTCAATGGCTCTTTCGAGCACATTCGAAAGATCAGGTAGAATCGAAACTGAACGTAAGTGTGAAAACTCTGATGGTGAACTTATTTTTTGCAGAGGATTGACGAGAGTTTCCTTCCATAACTGTGGAAAATAGGAGTTTTGTATACAAGAGTTAATAATATACGTTATATGTGGCACAATAAAGGTGCAGCATAGTATTATTAGAGTAATATTAAGGTTATCACGCCCAAATGCGTTAGGCTTAATACCTTTCATAGTTTGAAAAACAAATTCTTCATACACCTCCATGAAAGTAAAAAATGTGATAATTTTTAGCAGTATATTCAAGTAGTAAACTAGTGCTTGGCTGGCGAGAGTTTTTACATGAGTCAACAAAGTACCGATTGAGTGCCTCAACGTCCTGTAGTTCTTCTGGTAAAGAAGCATTGTTTTTCTTTTTAATGTTTAGTTTTTTCAGTTCTTGCCATCTTTGTTTTTGATTGAGTTTTTTAAATTTATAGTTCAGATAAGCTTTTTTTCGGCTCTTACAGCAGCAGTGACAAAATTTCTCATAGTTATGTAATGTTCCCTATGTTCCACCATTTTTGGTAACCGATAACGATTGAGTGATTCATTCCTTAGTTTTTGTATTCTGCGAATATTATCTGTTATCCATGGACTATATGGTTTTCTTTTGTTTTTTACATATCGAACAGGTGCATGATGGTTGAAAAGTTGTTAAAAGCTGTTAAAAAAATAATTTTCTGTTCTATGTTTTCAATCGAGGAGAAAATGTCCCATGCTATGTTTTCGAGGTCCCTTTGAAAACAGAGCATGTCCATGTTACGTAGAAACCTAAAACTGAATGAATAATCGTGACGGCTTTCAGTTCTACATTCATGGAACAGTAAACGAGCATGTGATCAGATATATCAAGATCCCGAACGCCAGAATCAGAAAC